GGTCCTGGCTGATCTCCGAGGGCTATGCCGCAGGCCCGGGAGACATCTCTCCCGACTGGTCCCCGGAGTGCTGTCCGCCGCCGCCAGAACCGGCCGATCTGACCAGCCCCACCTCGCTGCGGACGCCCCGCGCCGTGCGCCCGCCCGGCCGCAGCCCCACCGCCTCTGCCGCCGAGGAGCCCTGGGGCCGCGAGGGGCCGGCGCTGCTGCTGCTGTCGCGCTTCTCTCAGGCTCCCGACCCCAGCGGGGCGCTGGTGACCGGCCCGGCCTTGTGCGGCCTACTGGCCTACGTGACGGGCGCGCCGGGCCCGCCGAGCCCCCGCGCGCTGCGCATCCTGGCGCGGCTCACCTGCAACCCCGCCTGCCTCGAGGCCTTCGTGCGCAGCTACGGGGCGGCGCTGCTGCGTGCCTGGCTGGTGCTCGGCGTCGCCCCCGACGACTGGCCCGCGCTGCGCAGCCGGCAGGCTCGCCGCAGCCAGCACCAGCACCGGGAACTGGGTGGGTCCCGCGCCCCCTCACCCTTCCCCTCCCACTGCGCCTCGCCCGCTCTCTCACCGCCATCCCTGCGAACAACCTCAGCCACCAGCTGGTGGCCCGGAAGGACTCCCTTCTCCTCCATTGTCCTCACACACAGTTCTTCAACCTCTGACTGTGTCTTGGGGCCCAGGGACCGCAGCACCAGGTTTGGCCTGAACAGCTTAGAATCTGCCTCTCCTTCCCCAGTCTCTTCTCATTTCCCCCGTATTCCTAACTTCTGCACTGTCCTTGACTCCACTGGGAACACTGATGTGAACTGCGTCTCAGGTGTCTCATCCTCCCAGGCTCACGTCCTCCCAAAGCCCCCTTCCAACCCTGCCAGGGACTGCCCAGTCTTCTGTGCCCTGTTTTAGCCCCCGAGGGCCCAGAGTCATTCCCTGACCATCCCACTTCCTATTCTGGCCCTTAACTTTCTAGTTCCTGGTGTTGGGTTGCCAACCCTCTGGGGCCTGCGGTCATCATCCTCTGCCTTGCCCTGGGGTCACCCCCTCCTTCTTCCCAGGGGCCTCTCTTGCCCACTCCCAGCCCCACTCCAGCTCCCAAACTGACCTGCTCCGCCCACCCCTGCAGGTGAGATGCTGCTGCAGAACCTAACAGTGCAAGCCGAGTCGCCCTTCGGAGTGGGGGCCCTCACCCACCTGCTGCTCTCTGGGAGCCCGGAGGACCGTGTGGCCTGTGCCCTGACCCTGCCCTTCATCTGTCGGTGAGGGAGACGTGGGTACCTTGCCGGGGCGGGCGCAAGATTGCTGCTCTCCAGCCCCGCCCTTTTCCACCTTCTGAAAGATTCTCTTTTCCCCTCAAAGGAAGCCCTCTCTGTGGCGCCGGCTACTTCTGGACCAGGGCGGCCTCCGGCTGCTCCTCTCGGCGCTCACCCGGCCCGCTCCACACCCGCTCTTCCTCTTTTTCGCCGCAGACTCCCTTTCCTGCCTCCAAGGCCTGGTGTCTCCCACAGGGAGCCCAGCCGTCCTACCTGCAATCCCCTTGGACCTAGACCCGCCCTCCCCTTGCCTCTATGAACCTCTGCTGGGCCCAGCCCCCAGGCCAGCCCCCGACCTCCACTTCCTGCTGGACTCAGGCCTCCGGCTCCCTGCTCAGCGAGCTGCCTCAGCCACCGCCTCCCCCTTCTTCCGGGCCCTGCTGGCTGGCAGCTTTGCCGAAGCCCAGATGGACCTAGTGCCCCTCCGAGGCCTGTCACCCAGCGCAGCCTGGCCCATCCTGCATCACCTGCATGGCTGCCGGGGCTGTGGGGCCGCCCTGGGGCCTGTCCCTCCGCCGGGCCAGCCCCTGCTGGGCTCCGAGGCTGAGGAGGCCCTGGAGGCTGCTGGCCGTTTCCTGCTGCCAGGGCTGGAGGAGGAGCTGGAAGAAGCCGTGGGCCGCATCCACCTGGGACCCCAGGGTGGCCCAGAGTCTGTGGGGGAGGTGTTCCGCCTGGGCCGGCCGCGGCTGGCTGCCCACTGCGCGCGCTGGACCCTGGGGCCGGAGCAGTGCCCCCGGAAGCGGGCCCTGGCTCTGGTGGGGCTTGTGGAAGCAGCTGGCGAGGAGGCCGGGCCCCTGACTGAGGCCTTACTGGCTGTGGTGATGGGGGTGGAGTCCGGGGGCAAGGGTCCCAGCCTAGACTGTTGATGTATCCTGGGAGGAGACCCAGGGATGAGTTAGCTAGGAGAAGGTCTCTCTCAATGGGAGGAGGCTGAGCAGAAGGACTCACCGTCGAGGGCCCATGAAAGGATGGACCTGGAGCCCTGGGCGATGGTCTGAAGACTCAGGAGTGAGAAGCCAAGGCCAGGGTCTGGGCATGGGGCCCTCGAGATGGAGAACAGCCCAGGGCCCCAGGAACCTGGCCTGGCCCAGCTTTATGGAGCTGGAATTAAAAGCTTTGGAGTCGGCTCCCCCTGTTGTGTGGTGTCTACTTCCTTTCCTGTGGGAGTACCCGCATCTCTTAACCCATGCAGCAGGGTTGTGTCCAGGTATCTATCTCAGTGGGCTTCCCTGGTGGCTCAGGGGTAAAGAACCTGCCTGCTCATGCAGGAGACACAGGTTCAATCCTGGGGTCTGGAAGATCCCCTGGAGAAGGAAATGAGAACCCACTCCAGTATTCTTGCCTGGGAAATCCCATGGACAGAGAACCCTGGTGGAGCTTGTAGAGTTGGACATGACTTAGCAATTAAACAACAACTGTGTCTCAGTACAGGCCAACCTTGGTGTTAAGGAGTTACTTATTAGTAACAATGTGCAGGTTCCTGGAGCCCCTGGATATGCTGCAGTTGCCAGGCTGCTCCTGAGGATGTGGTTTTGGGCCCCAAGGGAAGCCTGCTTCCTGCTCAGGCTACTTCATTGCTCAGGCAGCCACCCAGCTGGATACAGACCCTGATCCGGGCTGAGGGGATGTGTGGGTGGGGATGGATGTCCAAGACCTTGGCACTATTGTTTCATCACCCATCACCCATCATGGACCTTCTCTGGGTCCATTTTCATCTCTTGGACCAAGTGTCCTGCTGTTTTTCTGAGAGAAGACTATTGTGTTCTTCAAGTCCCTGAGGCCACTGGTCACGCCAAGAGGGAGCTGGAGCCCTAGGCTGATATTGCTTTGGTTGCCCCGGCATGGTCTCCAGAAGCCTGGCTCCCAGATCATTGACCACTTAGGTGGCAGCCTGACTGTGAGGACAGGGCCTGGACTGGGGCCATCCACTAACTTCTGGGAAGCCAAGGGGGCCCCTTGCTGCCTCTGAGAGTATCCAGGTCTCTGTTCTCAGGATGTCCTTTACAACCATCCAGAGAGTTTTTTTTTTTTAATGGAATATATAAATATTTATGTAAGGACTTACTCATTTCTCTCTCCAGCTTTTTTTTCTTCCTTTTTGGCTGCATGGCACGGCTCGTCGGATCTCAGTTCCCTGACGAGGGGTCCAATCTGTGCCCCCTGCAGCGGAAGCTTGGAGTCCTAACCACTGGACCCCCAGAATTCCCCAGGAAACTTTTTTAAAAGTACTGATGCCCAGGCCCTTTCTAACTGAATTGGACTGAGGGGAGAGTGCTTTAGGCATCAGTATTTTTTAAATTTATTTTTAATTAGTGGATAATTGCTTTTTTTAATGCTGTGTTGGTTTCTGCTGTATAACAATGCTTATCAGCCATAAGGATACATATGTCCTCTCCTTCCCAGCGGAGCCCCCTCCCCCTGCATCAGTATTTTTTAAAAAGCCCCTGAGTTGCCATTCCAGTGCTCACTTCTCGACCCGTGTCTGAGTTGAGACCCACTGTCTGCAGCACTGCTGTGTCCTCCCACACCTATCTCTAGAGTTTCTCATTTCCAACTTGATTTCTCGGTCAAGGGGAAGCCTCTTGTTCCTTTGTGGCCAGAATCTGTGTCTTGCTTTCTTCTCTATATTCACCAGTATGTTGGGAAAGGGCTCTTGGGGGACAGGTCTGGGTCATCTCGGTGCAGGGAAGAGTTGGCTGAGGTCTAGCTGCCTGGAAGCATTTCTCCTGAGACTGCGTGGGACTTGGGCCTCAGGTTCTGTTTACCTGTGTCTGTATGTCTGTTTCCAACTATGGCTTACAGTCTGTGGATGGGATTATCATCTCTCTCAGAGATTTCTTTGTTTCCAGTTCGTGTGCCTTTGGGGACCTCTGTCTATGTCATTGTCACAGTCTCTTAGGGAAGATTTCTGAACCTGGGAACTGACAGATCCTTAGAACATCACCACCGCCTCCAACTCCAAAATTCTGTCTAGAGAAATCCTCCGGGAATAGCAGGGGGTGGGAGACAACCTCTGTCTAGGACTCAAGGTACTAACTTTGGGGATGGGGGCAGGTGGGCTTGGGTGCCTCAGTCTGAGTCTAAGAGTCTCCCTGAGCAGAGGATCCCGGGCTTTTTCTGGAGGAGCCACTTCTCTTACTCTGACTCTGGCCGCCTGGGGCTCCCTGCAGCTGAGGCCAAGGCTGGGGTGTGGCCGTCTGCGCAGCAGGCAGGCGGGCTGGGCCTGGGTGGGCCGGGGCCCTCCCTCCCTTACAGGCCCCCACCCCGGGTTCTCCCGTTCTCCCCCCCCCCCCCCCGCCCCCAACAGCCTTATCCCAGCGGGTCCCGGCTTCCTTACATGGTCACGGCTGGGCCTCCAGCTCCCGGACGTCCCCCGCCCCCCGCCCCCACCGGACACGGCCCCCGCCCTGCTCGCCCCGCGCGGTCTGCCCGCGCCCCGTCATGGAGGACCTGGGTGAGTGGGGTCCGGGTCCCCTTGTCCCCAAGCCCCTCAGCACTGCCTGGACCCGCTTCTCCATCCTGGGGCCCCCTCGCACTCCCGGCATCGCTCCATCCCTGCCTCCCGGTCTTCTCGCTTCTGGTCTCTGCCGGTGCCTCCTTTCCGACTCCACGTCCCCCTTCCTGCCGCTCCCTTCCTGCCTTTGCCAGACTGGTCGCTCCCTCCCTTCTTCCTTCACTTCGCTCCCCCGTCGCTGGCTGCAAACGGATGGGCAGGGAGGTGCAGCGCCTGCGGACGCCTGGGCTCAGGAGCTCTGGGAAGGGAGGAGTTAAAAGGACCTTGGGTCCAGGGACTGGGAAAATAGTCGGGAAGGGAGACTATGACAGTAAGTTCTGGAGAAGAAAATGGGCTTGCCCTAGGGTTTGGGGAAGGAAAGAGTTAAGGGCCCTTTAGTATGGTAGGGTCAGGTCCTTGGGGCAGAAAGTAAAGATAATAGATGGGTGCTGAGATGCCAGGGAGAGGTCAAGGATTCCATCAGGCGCTCAGGGATGCAGAGTAAAGGGGCAGGGACTTTAAATCTGGAAGGTGAAGAGTTCAAAGGTTCTGGATCTGGGGATGGAGAAGGGGGAAGCTGTGTGTTTTGGAGGGTGGTGCTGTCTGTCCCTCCGACTTGGGGCAGAGAGGAGGATTCACGCATCTCATCCTCCCTGTCCTTTGGAACTGGGGCACGAAGGCTGTGCGCTCCGTGGGATAGAAGGCGTTCCAGCACCCTGCGGTAGGGGGTGCTGCTCAGAATGAGTAACGGGCACTGGTACTGAAGAATAAACCAATCAGAAAGCAGGTCCCACCAGACTCACCAATGAGGTGCATAGGGCGGAGCCCAGTGGCGTCTGGAGGTGGGCCAGGGCTGGGAGGGGCCTGTTTAGGTGTAGGGGGTGTGGCAGAAAGAGCATCCAATCAGAAAGCAGATGTCAGGCATATAGCCAATTGAGCAATTTGGGGTGGAGCCAAATTTGCCTTCAGTGAAGAGCCAATTTTGACTGCATTACCGAAGATTCAGAGAATTAGAGTCAGGTAGATGAGTTTGTAAATGACTCTCAGGAAGAGCCACGTGGGATGTTGTGTCCGTAAATGGTCCTTGCTGCCCTTCCACATCTCTGCCATGGTCTGCCTTGTATTTCTTCTGATTCTTGACCTCTACTCTTAATAGTGGCTTCTGTCCTCAAGTACTGCCCACTTAGAACGCTTATTCTCTGATCTCTTAAGGCCCTGTCTCTGCCTTAACCTTGACTTCTCAGCCTCTCACCTTGACGGCCTCTCCCTGCAGATGCCCTGCTTTCTGACCTGGAGACCACAACCTCACACATGCCAAGGTCAGGGGCTCTAAAAGAGCGGCCCCCAGAGCCCCTCACGTCTCCTCTGACACAGGTGAGCTCAGATGCTGGGGAGAGGGACAACCACTCGGGCCAGGTTTGGTGAGAGGAAAGGAAACCCAGGCCTGAGTAGGGCAGAGTACAGGCGTATCATCCCACACACATGTCCTTCTCTATAGATGGGGCCTGGGGAATCTTCAGGAGCCTCTGGGGACAAGGACCATCTGTATAGGTGAGAAGACTGGGTATGGGGGGATGGGGTGGCCAATTGAGACTCGGGCTTGTATTCCCCACCCCTGAACCCAAGCTCCCACCCTCTTTCCCAGCACGGTATGCAAGCCTCGGTCCCCGAAGCCTGCAGCCCCTGCCACCCCTCCATTCTCCTCTTCCTGCGGTGTCTTGGGCACGGGGCTCTGTGAGCTAGACAGGTTGCTTCAGGAACTTAATGCTACTCAGTTCAACATAACAGGTACCAGGGTTACTGGGACAGGCCTTGATGGGATGGGGGGCAAGGCAGGGCTGGGCAGAGACTAAGGGGGGGTAGCCATTCCCTTCTCCCAGGGGATATTCCCAACCCAAGGATTGAACCGGGGTCTCCCGCCTTGCAGGCAGATTCTTTACTTTCCAAGTCACTAAGGAAGCCCATAGACTTCCCAGCGTAGCAGCTAAAGGGATGTGAGCCTTAACTGGGAAGGAGGCTAGTGCATGGCCCCAGGCCCAGTGCCCTTCTCTCCTCTCTGCAGATGAAATAATGTCTCAGTTCCCATCTAGCAAGGAGACAGCAGGGGAGCAGAAGGAGGACCAGCCTGAGGACAAGAAAAGGCCCAGCCCGTGAGTCTGGCATAGCTGGCGGGGTTGGGAAAAAGGTGGTCAGTTCTGGATGCTGAAGTTACTGGATGAAGCGTCACCCTGAGACTCTGAGCTGACACAAGCTGTGTTCTTCACAGCCCTCCCAGCCCCTCCCCTGTTCTCCCAAAGCCTTCAGCCACCTCAGCCACCCTGGAGCTAGATAGACTGATGGCCTCACTCTCTGACTTCCGTGTCCAGAACCATGTGAGTCACTCAAGGAGTGGGGGTGGACCACTGTGGATTCATGGCTCTCAGCCCATCTGAGACCTTCTCACCTGTGCTGCCTTGCTGACTCAGCTCTCCTGTCCTCACTACTGCAGCTTCCAGCCTCAGGGCCCACCCTACCACCAGTGCCAAGCTCTGTGAATGAGGACGCCCCCTCCCCACCAGGGCCCACCAGCAAAGGCAGCCTGGACACCATGCTGGGGCTACTTCAGTCTGACCTCAGCCGCCGTGGCGTTCCCACCCAGGCCAAGGGCCTCTGTGGCTCCTGCAATAAACCCATTGCTGGGCAAGTAAGTGAAGCTCTGCGAGTAAGGGGGTAGAGACCCATGCATGCCAAGTCACTTCAGTCATGTCCAACTCTTAGCGATCCTATGGACTGTAGCCCACTAGGCTCCTCTGTCCATGGGATTCTCCAAGCAAGTGTACTGGAGTGAGTTGCCATGCCCTCCTCCAGGGGATCTTCCCCACCCAGGAATTGAACCTGCATCTCTTATATCTCCTGCTTTGGCAGACAAGTTCTTTACCACTAGTGACACATGGGAAGCCCAGAGACCTATAGACCCATTTCACTTGGAGCCAGTAGGTATTATTGTTATTCATATTTTGTGGATGAGGAAATTGAAGCTCCGAGTCAGACAGCAAGTGAGTGGCAGAGTAAGAATTCCAACCCAGGTTTTATTTATTCTAGTCCTACTGTGTGCCGGGCATTATGCTAGTCCTACTGTGTGCCAGGCATTATGCTAGCTCCTTTACAAACCCCCATGTAATTTTTTTAATTAATCAATTTATTTCATTTCTGGTTGTACTGGGTCTTCATTGCTGTGCGTGGGCTTTCTCTCCTTGCAGAGATTCAGGCTACTGTCTAGTTGTGGTGCGCAAGCTTCTTATTGCGGTAGCTTCTCTTGTTGCAGAACTCTAGGCACAAGAACTACAGTAGGTGCAGCCCATGGGCTCGGTAGTTGAGGCTCATAGGCTTTAGCTCAGTCAGTTGAGGCTCAGTCGTTGTGGTGCTCAGGCTTAGTTGCTCCGAGGTATGTGGGATCTTCCTGGAGCAGGGATCAAACCTGTGTCCCCTACATTGGCAGGCAGATTCTTATCCACTGCACCACCGGGGAAGTCCCCTATCTCATTTAATCTTCACAAAAGCCTCACTGGCTCCACGCAGCATCTCTTCGGGACCCACAAAGACTGTTTCTCCTCCACCAGTCTGGTTTGGGAGCTCCAGTTCTTGGCTTATTGACTGAGCAGATGTTATCAGCAACTGTGCCTAGTCGTTGATCTAGATCCTCCTGCTAGATAAAGTGCCCTACCGCCGTCCATTTTGCTGAGAATTTCCAATCTCAGCAAAGCAGGGTGACATTATGAATTTTCTAAGCACTTTCACCTTCATGGGCCCCTTCCTCCATTAAAAAATATATAAATTGCATTTTATGACTGTTGGAGTGAAGATGAATACATTAATATTATATATTAAGTCATTTTCTTCTAGCTCATTTTTTTCTTCTAATTTTAAAAGAAATTATAACATGTTTGTGACCTACAAAAAGTATGGTGGGCCCAAGGTACTGTGCTGGAAGCCGGCTTAAATCTCCATCGCTTTGGGATTGAGTGACTTGGACATTCGATACTTCATCCTGACTTCTCAAAGATAAGATGTGAAAAGTGCCACGTAAACCTTGGCTCACTGGGCATCTGGCAGCCCGAGGGCCACTCTGACTCACGCCTCAACCCCAACTCACAGGTCGTGACGGCGCTTGGCCGTGCTTGGCATCCTGAGCACTTCGTTTGCGGTGGCTGTTCCACCGCCCTGGGAGGCAGCAGCTTCTTCGAGAAGGATGGAGCTCCCTTCTGTCCTGAGTGCTACTTCGAGCGCTTCTCTCCGCGATGTGGCCTCTGCAATCAACCCATCCGACACGTGAGCCCCGCCTGGACCACAAGCCTCTGTTTCACCCAAGGAGCTTCATCCACTTACGCATTTCCCATCCCCAACCCAGCCGCTTCCAGGGTTCTCCTCCTCAGATCTTCGGACTCTGCGCTCTTTGATTCCCAAGTTCCTGCTTAGGTCTCCCGCAGCTTCAACTCATACTTCAAGCCACTCATTTATCGGTTCAGGGTGGGAGGGGAGAGGAAATGGGCGGGGAGGCACGCTGAGTGTTCCCTTTCATTCCCCGCAGAAGATGGTTACTGCCTTGGGCACCCACTGGCACCCGGAGCATTTCTGCTGCGTTAGTTGCGGGGAGCCCTTCGGAGATGAAGGTGAGAGCTTGACTCCCATCTTGAAAGTCGCGTGTCCGCTCGACATCCAGCCCCGCTCCCTTTGGGCCCGCCTACTAGGACTTCCGAAATCCTCAGGGGCCTGAATTTCCTCCTGCTCTCTCCTGGCCCCGGCCTATCCCACCTGTGGATTCCCATCCCACTCTCTCCCGCTCTGCCCCCACCCAGACCCTGTCCCTCTCCACTGACTGCGTCCTCTCACTGCGCCGCTTCCGGCCCCCCAGTCTCCGATCTTTGTGGGCTCCCGGGGCCACCTCGCACCCTTTTCCTTCCTCCTTACTCTGTTCCCGCTCCTAGGTTTCCACGAGCGGGAGGGCCGCCCCTACTGCCGCCGGGACTTCCTGCAGCTGTTCGCGCCGCGCTGCCAGGGTTGCCAAGGCCCCATTCTGGACAACTACATCTCGGCGCTCAGCGCGCTCTGGCACCCGGACTGTTTCGTCTGCCGGGTGCGCAACTGTGGGGGGCGGGGCCTTGGAGGGAGGGGCCAATAGGGGCGGGACTAGGAGTCAGGGCGGGACTTTTCAGAGCGCGACCCCTGGGGAGGCGGAGTTTCACGCTTGCTGGCGGTGCGAGGGGCTGCGGGAGTCTCTGGGGGTTGGTTATTCAACTCCAAAAGGGAGTTATTTGGTTTGGAGGTTGGCGCTGATCCATCCTTTCGCGGTTGCCCTTCCCCAGGAATGTTTCGCGCCCTTCTCGGGAGGCAGCTTTTTCGAGCACGAGGGCCGTCCGCTCTGCGAGAACCATTTCCACGCGCGGCGCGGGTCTCTGTGCGCCACGTGTGGCCTCCCGGTGACCGGCCGATGCGTGTCGGCCCTGGGCCGCCGCTTCCACCCGGACCACTTCACCTGCACCTTCTGCCTGCGCCCGCTCACCAAGGGCTCCTTCCAGGAGCGCGCGGGCAAGCCCTACTGCCAGCCCTGCTTCCTCAAGCTCTTCGGCTGACCGCCTGCCGGGGTCGCCCCTCCGGGAGAGCGCAGCCCCAAAGACCTCGCCCTCCCCCCCCAAAAGATCGGGTTCTCCAGACCTCAAGGCCTTGCTGTTGGAGCTTGGGGCTCCACCAGCCCGACTTCTTGAGGTCCCACCCCACTGGAGGAACCGGCCCCGAAGGTACCGTACGTTCTTCGTGGGCGAGTTCAGAAAAGGCCCTACGAACCCTTACGGCCACACGCCTCCCGAAGTGGGTCCGTACACTGACCGATCCCACGTGAGCCCCTCACTTTGTTCCCAGCCTTGAGGGAGCCCCCCGACTGGAGGATGGCCCTTGCAATTCCCACGAATCCGAGGCCAGGCCAAGACGTCCCTCTCCCCGCCCCTCACTGTTCTGTGCACTTTTTTCTACCTACATAAACACACATTCCACGTCACGTCGGTGCTGTGTCTCTGCGCGGGAGTGGCTCGCTTCGCGACGTCCCGCCCCTAGTACTGCTATGGCCGCCGCTGGCTCTAGGCCGCCGCCTTGTGGCGGGAGCCGGGCCTGCAGCCTCAGCCCTTCAGATGAGCCTGAGGCCGGAAAGGCCGGCCACGTGCGCAGGATTGTATAGATGGCGGCCAGCCGGGACGGGAATTTAAGCGGAGCCCCATCAAACCTTCCTGTCGCCAACCCCCGACCCATCAGTTCCTTATATTCTCGAAATAAGCACTTAATCTGTACCCACTCCCTTCACCCTTGCCACCTGTTTGGTCTCCAGATTTTCCCCCCTCTAATAATTTTCTTTAATTGTTTACTTTTTGGCCACACTGCACAGCATGTGGGGTCTTATCTCCCCCACCAGAGATCGAAGTTGCACCCCCTGCATTGGAAGTGCCGTTTTAATCACCTGACCACCAAGGCAGTCCCACCCCCTTTCTTAAAAGACCCTCAGAGATGGGGCTCCATTTGAAAGTGCCAATTTATTCCCACCCTTTGGATCTGAGCATTAAATTTCAGCTTCTCTCATACTAGTATTGACTTATAACATCTCCTTTAGGCAGAAGATGGCACTTAGGGTGGTCAGGGCACTGACTGAGGAAAACTGGGAGCTGTACGAACTAGAAAGAGGCTTTAACTCAGCTTGGAAGTCAAGGAGGGCTTCCTGGAGGAGGTGACACAGGAGCCAAGCCCCTGTGAGAAGGGTGAGACCAGGGGTTCTTAGGTGTAGAGAGGTTCAGGCTGCATCTGAATCCCCAAACCCCAGGGGTCTTTGTAAGCCCAGTTCCCTAGGAAGGGGGCCTAGATTCCTGCTCTAACTACAGGGACCTTTGAGGCTGGAAACAATGGATCCCCAAAGGCCCTTCCAGCTCAAAGAGGGGCTAACAGCCAAGGAGAACAGCTGTGGTGTGGGCAAGAGCCAAAGGTGAGGTTCTTTGCCTTGGCTTTGGGCAAACCACCTTCCCCAGATTCTTTCCTCTCTGAAGCTCCCCTCCTGGGTCTTCCTAAGCCTCTGGCTCTTCCTCTTTCACAAATCCTCCCTGGAGAGTGCTGTCCATCCCTTGGCTTGTAACTGCCTCCCAGTCTTAAGCCATTCATTTCCCAAGAGTTCATTGACTACATATTGTGCTAGGTCCATGCTGGGTGCTGAGAAACACGTTCCTTGGACTCCTGGTCTCATAGGAGAGACAGATGGAAAAAAAAAAGAAAAACAAGAAACAAAACCGCAATGACAGGTGTGATAAAGTAACAAACTCCCCTGATGGCCTAGGTAAAGCTGGTTCTTCTCCCTAGTTTACACCCATAGCACCTCCCTAGTCCCTCACTTATCACTTTTGCAAACAGGTATTTGTTGCTTGTTCATTTATGTTTTGGTTTTTTTTTTTTTTTTTACTGGCCTCTGTAATTGCGGCAAGTGGGCTTAGGTGCTCCTAGGCATGTGGGCTCTTAGTTCCCCGACCAGGGATCGAATCCTTGTCCCCTGACTTGGAAGGTGGATTCTCAAGCACTGAGCCACCAGAGAAGTCCCATGCTTGTTTATTTCTGAAATGAAGGCAAGCTCTTGGGAGTTTGTCTGTCAAACGACACATTTGTTTTGCTGTTATCTGTCCAGTGTCCAAGTTGCTGTCTAGCAGGTGGTAAGTGCTCCAAAAATGTTTGCTAATGAAGGAAGGAATGAAGAAGGAAGGGGAGGAGGAAAGGCGAGAAGGAAAAAAAATAAGAACTAAGAGAAGATGGGGAAGGAGGTACATGAACCAGAGCATCAGAGAAAGCCTCTGTGAATATGTAATATCTCCATTGAGACTGATAATCTCCATTGAGACTGAAGGTTGAGGGAAGAGCCCGCTAGGCAAAGAGCGCGAGGAGAGCACCCCAGGCAGAGGAAAGAGAAAGTGCAAAGGCCAGGAGGTAGGAACAAGCTTGGTGTATTGGAAGGAAGGAAAGAAGACCGATGTGGTTGATTAGAGTGAGCAGGGGAGAGTCGTAGGAGATGCGGTCAAAGAGAAACAAGGTGCCACATCACGCAGTGCTCTGCCGGCTCTGATGAGGGCAGGTGTGTGCATGCTAAGTCACTTCAGTCGTGTGTGACTCTTTGCAACCCCATGGACTGTAGCCTTCCAGGCTCCTCTGTCCATGGGGTTCTCCTGGCAAGCATCCTGGCGTGGGTTGCCATGCCCTCCTCCAGGGGATCTTCCCTACCCAGGGACCGAACTCACATCTCCAGTGGCTCCTGCATTGCCGGTGGATTCTTTACCTCTGAGCCACCAAGGAAGCCACAGAGATCTGATTTTAAGTGCCTGCAACCCCAGTGTGTCCTCTGATACTTACCTCTAGATTTCTTCCTGACCCTTCATTTTTAAAAATTATTTTATTTGGCTGTGTCGAGTCACCCGACACAGTTGTGGTGCATGAGCTTCTCTCTAGTTGTGGTGCTCGGGCTTTGGTGTCCCATGGCATGTGGGATCTTATGCCACCCGACCAGGTGGGATCTTGACCAGGAATGGAACCTGAGTCCTCTGCATTGCAAGGTGGATTCTTAACCACTGGACCACTCGGCCAGACACTTCAAATTCATCACCCGCTGAAGCAGATGCTGTGGGTGCCCTGCCTGTATCCACCTGACCCATCTGGGAAGTCATATGCAGACACTTCCCAGACCCTCAGTGTCCCTAGATGCTCCCTGAGTTTCTGTCTGGAGGAGGGCCTGGGTGGATGGGTGGGATTCTGTAACCTCGGAACCAGTTAGAGATACGGATTGGTGAATAACTATCCTAGCTCTCTGGTTCCTGGGGATCAATTCTGAGGTGAGTTCCCCTCAATGTCTCAGCGGTCCCCCCTGGGATTGTCAAAGTGGTAACTTCATTAAAAAATATTTTATTTATTATTTATTTATTTATTTATTTGGCTGCCCTGGGTCTTAGTTGTGGCATGCGGGATCTAGTTCCCTGACCAGGAAGCAAACCCCAGGTCCTCTGCACTGGGAGTTCAGAGTCTTGGCCACTGGACCACCGGGGAAGTCCCACAGTGGTAACCTTTTCATCAACACACCGTTTATTGGCTTTTCTCCTTTCTTCGTCTCTCTTCCTCATTCCTTCACAGCTCTGACTGTGATTAGCTCCCCAGTACAGTTCTTGCACCCCAATTCCCATCTTAGAGTCTGTTTTTGAAGGGACCATAATGAAGGCATTCCTTAAACAACTCATCACCTTCCCCTAAAATATTGTTCTCTGTTCTCATTTCCACCATGAAGCCAACTACCATAATCAGACACCCAAGCCTGGTCAGTTCTTCTAGAAAGATAGAGGAGCGGGTATCTATTTATCAAGCTATTCCCTTCTCACGTCCAGCCCTATGCAGAGCAATGGGACTCCAGGGATGAATCTAATCATCCCCTGCTCTTGGGGGAGTCGCTGGTCTATTGGGGAGGCAGATCTGGACCCAGGCAAGGTCCACACAATGTGCTCAGAACTGTGTCGGGAAAGTCAGAGAAGTCTTTCCCGAAGAGATGCCATGGGCTGGGCACTGAAGGCTGAGTAGGAGCTGGCCATTTGGGAGGCAGGGGGCGTTCCAGGCAGAAGGTACAGCTTATAGAAAAGTTCGGAGGGTCTGAGAATCCAGGGGCTGGGGAGGGCACGGGCATGGGAAGGAAATGTGATTTCATCCTTGATTTGGTGTGGAGGAGCGAGGGGAAGGGTGGGCAGGGGTCGGGGCACGGCAGGCCTTAAACCTCAGGATGAGAGGCTCCTGCCTCCTCCTGGGTGTGATGGAGAGCTCTGGAGGTTTCCTGAGCAGGGGAGTGACGCTGTCAGATTTGAGTCCAAAAACAATTCCTTGGGACTTTCTTCACAGTCCAGTGGGGCAGGACTCGGGGCTCAGGTTTGACCCCTGGTCAAGGAACTAGATCCCGAATGCTGTAACTGAAGATCCTACATGCCGCAAGGAAGATCCACGACACAACCAAATAAATAAATATTTCAAAAAGAAAGAAAAAGGCTCAGTGGTAAAGAATCTGCCTGCCAATGCAGGAGACACAGGTTCGATCCCTGGTCCAAGAAGATCCCACATGCCACGGAGCAACTAAGCCTATGTGCCACCATTACTGAGCCTGCGCTCTAGAGCCTGGGAGCTGCAATTAGTGAGCCCACACACTGCAACTACCAAAGCTCAGGTACCCTGGAGCCCATGGTCTGCAACAAGAGAAGCCGCCAGAAGGCGAAGCCTGCAACAAAGAGAAGCCCTTGCTCGCTGCAACTAGAGAAAAGCCTGCACAGCAACGAAGACCCAGCACAGCTAAAAATAAATAAAATTATTTTTAAACGATTTAAAAAAAAGAAAGAAAATGATTCCTCTGGATTAGTTTGAACTGGGGACCAGCTCAGCCAGGTTCCCTAGGTCAAAGCTGAAGGATAGGCATTTTTAGCTGATGAAAGAAATCATTTTGAGCCCAAGTCTCTGGAGAATAGATGGGTCTTAAGGCCCAGGAAGGGGAATACCCTTGAATTTGAAAGTGTCCAGCTCCCCAGGACCACAGCCT